ATGACACTCGTAACTACTCTTTCAGGTTATATCTTTCTGAGTTCACAACCTCTGTGATTGGTTAATTTGCTAATTACGATCTTTAATGCTGATGAACCATGTTCCTGTTCAGAAATGGACGAGATCTAGTGCTCAGCATGTTAGCAAAGATACAGAAAATCAATCAATCAGTGTAGGCGACTAAATCTGAAGTCAACCTTTAGCCCTGTGAACAGCTGGAGCTCGTTCTGGTCTCCAAAATATCATTCTGTCAACCAAATGCTCAGTCTTTAGTGTGATCTACATACCAGCATTGGTGAATGTGCTCAGACGAACTCAACACTCAAGAGCAGTCCTTCTCATAATCAAGTCAAACAGGGCACGTGTCTGCTTCGCTTCCTTCAAAATTTACACTGAGTTTTCTACTCAATTTTGGCCGCAACTTTGCAGTGTTCGTGTTGATGGACTTGGACTGGGCATTTCATATAGCGCTTTTCGCACTTTCTCCGGTGCTTTCTCTGGTTGTTCTCTCATCTTTCAAAGATGTCTCGATCAAGCTGAATCTGATAATCTTTCGTAATACAGAAACTGGGAAGGTACAAGCCAGCCGCAAATGTTCATATGACTAGCCTGAGAGCTAAGGGTATCGAAGAATTTCGCTCCCTGCGAATTCGTTAGGACACTGCAGTTCCAAGTTGCAGCTTCACAGTGACCACACAATGTCTGGACACTGAACATTTCATACAAACGCGCCAAATATGGGTCTGACAGTACTGTCTACAAATCCAAGATTTGGGCGATGAAGGATGTACATGGTAACAGCCTGAAAACTGACGAATTCGAAGTGGTTAAGACACCAAATCAGACTAGTGAATCCAAAATGCAACTGATTTCGGTCATTCAAGATCATCTTACGTCATTGACATAATTGGCGATCTAAAACCGAGTTTCCCTACCTTATAGTGAGGATACCGACATATGTTCCTACCCAGAGTGCCCCTGCAGCGAGTGTAAATGGTTGCAATGAATGTAGTTCCGCCTTCATTTTCTTGCGTCGACTAAGAGGAAGACACCGAGAAACATAAACGAAACAGATTTCACGAAAAAAATTAACGCGTTCATTATCAGAGTCCTGTTGAATGACGCATGAGCAAATCGCCTACATGCATGACTGATGATTGTGTTTCTTTCACTACGCTTTCAAAATGGTGGGAAAAATCATTACAGACTAAAAATTCTTTCAAACTGTGTTAGCTAATTAGATTCACAATAATGTTCCTTCAGCGGTAACCCTTATTCGTCGACGCTAACCACTTCGCAAAGTAAACTGCTACAATCATCGAATGTGTAGTGGCGTATTTAAGAGTTTCATTGGAGAATAATGTTCTTAAATTACTTGCTTCCTGGTTTGTTTTCTGAACATAGCACGACAAGAGCTAAAACCTGAAGGAAAGGAAGACACTGCTACCAGCATGTAATATTTCGTGATGTCGTTGAAGCTAAATTGCAATGGCAGCTAGTCGATGGCCTGCTAGCTTGCAGGAATGTATGATTCTGATGGAAAGACATAGTCGAACAGACTGTTAGGCGAGCATGGAGTTTGCCGCTTCAGCTGCTGATGAACCATCGTCTCATAATAAACTATTACGATAAATCTTACACAAGAATCTCACAAATACTCAATCTTCGGATACAAGAAGTAGAAAAGTCAAACTTCACTA